TGCACACCTCTTAACAGAGCAGCGATACCATCTTTCCCTGCGGGCTGCGACTCCCAAGAGGAACAACATGGTGGGAGGAGTCCAGCGTGCCCAGTTCTCCTGTCCCAGTTTATCCTCCATCACCGGAGATGAGGAAATAGTTCTTCCTATAAAACCCAGGGTGGAGGGAGGTCATCCTCTTGACAGGTAAAGGAAGCACGCACTGTGGATTAATTGGCTGGTACAATGGTTGGATTCTCATACACCGGGTAACAACAGGGATCCAGCAAAATTCTGTCACTCGATAGCTATGAAGTTCAGGGAAAATTCCTGGTTCTAAACTTCTCATTTTCGAAAACACTGAAAGGAGTTTAGTACTCACCTTGTGAGACAATCCAGGACTGTTCTGCCCGGCTCAGAATAAACATTTGATGAGGATCTGCTACCAGCAGAATGGGAGTAAGTGCACCATCTCCCCTTAGGTAACGTGCTAGGTGCTGGGGCTGGACAGATAGAAGGTTTAATCGCAGCAGATGGAACCCTCGAGGGCCTGTTAAGAGGTATGCTATATAGCTTCGAACCTGAGTGTTGCCCAAAGACCCATGTGCCAAAGGCTTTGTCCCCAGCTTAGTGCTGTTGGGAGGGGCTCAGAACTTTAAGAGCTGGGGCCTAGCGAGAGGACTCTGGTGACTTGGGAGCATGCGCTCAGAAGGGGTAGTATGAGAAGGGTCTGTCTGTCATCTAGTGTCGTCCTTAATTGATTTCTTCAGTGTCTTCACATTTCCATGGAAGAAGTCTTTCATTTCCTTGGTGAGATTTACTCCAGGTGTGTATGTGTGTGCGTTGTTGGTGGGATTGCTTCCCCAGATTCTTTTCTGCATGTTATTGATATATAACAAGGCTAGTCCGGGCTGGAGAGATGGTTCAGTGGTTAAGAGCACTGACTGTTCTTCCAGAGGACCCAGGGTTCAATTCCCAGCACCCACATGACAGCTCACAATTGTCTGTAACTCCGTCCAGGGGATCTGACACCCTCACACAGACATACACGCAGGCAATGCACATGAAGTAATAAAAAGGCTGGTCATTTTTGTGCATTTTGTATCCCACCACTTTGCTGAATATATTCATCAGCTCCCACGAGTTTTGTTGGTGAAGTCTCTAAGATCACTTACGTATGGAATCATATCATCTACAAATTAATCTCCCCACCTCGTCATTTGTATCCCTTTGGTTTCTTTCTCTTGCCTGTTGCTCTAGTCAAGGCTTCCAGCACTATATTGACTAGGGGCGGAGAGAGTGGAGAACCTTTCCTTGTCCTCATTTTCATGGGGATGCTTTGAGTTTTTTCCAATGAGCGTGATGTTGGTTGTGGGTTTGTCATATTTACGTGGCTACCGGTATGCTGCCCATGCCTCAGCGGATGGCTTCATATCCTTGTGCACATAGGCAGCACTAACTGGACTCAGTCGATTATTTTTAAGAAGTGAAAAAGAAAGAAGATGAAGTTCAGAGGTAGATGGAGGTAGATGGAGGGAGTGGAAGATATTATTATGATATATTGTATATGGGCTGGAGAGATGGCTCAGCCATTAAAGGCTAGGCTCACAGCCAAAAATAGAAGATACATTGTATTTGTTTACAAAAATAAACAAAAATACTTTTAAAAAGAGATAGAAGAGTCCCAACCTTTTTTTTTTCTTTCCCCCAGCCACAAGGTGAGTCACTTTCCTATGCCACATGCCCTGCTGTAGCTGGAGTTATCTCCAGTCCTGCCTGGCCCGTGGTCAAGACAAATCTCTCTCACCCACCGGTCCTGCAGCCACTCAGACCCAAATAAACACACACAGGCTAATGTTATTTAAAACTGCTCAGCCATTAGCTCAGGCTAACTATTGACTAGTTCTTACGTCTTAAACTCAGCCCATTTCTGTTAATCTATAAGTTGCCACGTGGCTTGTGGCTTACCGGTACTTTTACATTTTGCTTCTCATGGTGGTGGCGGCTGGCAGCATCTCCTGACTCAGCCTTCCTCTTCCCAGAATTCTCTCTGTTTGTCCCGCTTATACTATACTTCCTGCCTGGCTACTGGTCAGTCATCGTTTTATTTATACAGAAAGACATCCCCAGCACTTGCGTCCTTCTCCCATTTCTCAGGTAATATTATATCCTTCTGAGGTCTTTGATGTAGTTGAAGACTAGATAGTTATAATTTCCTTAGTTATGCTAAAAGATAAGTTAGATATGAAACCTTAGACTCACAAATATAGGATAGATAGGATATCTTCTTTAATTTTGCCAAATACAAATAGACTAGATATTATAAATAGACTAGATATTGTAACTGTAATTCTTGCTTGATAATTGTTTTGTGATATGTAATTTTACTATGTTAAAGTTAAAAACCTTTCTTTTTGAAAAAAAGAAAAGGGGAAGTGCTAGGGATATCTTTCTGTATAAATAAAATGATGATTGACCAGTAGCCAGGCAGGAAGTATAGTATAGGTGGGACAAACAGAGAGGAGAATTCTGGGAACAGGAAGGCTGGGTCAGGAGTCACCAGCCAGATACAGAGGAAGCAAAATGTAAAAGTACCAGTAAGCCACAAGCCACGTGGCAACTTACAGATTAATAGAAATGGGTTAATTTAAGATGTAAGAGCTAGTCAATAGTTAGCCTGAGCTAATGGCTGAGCAATTTTAATTAACATGAGCTTCTGAGTGATCATTTTCTAAGTGGGCTGCAGAACTTCGGGGGCCTGAGTGGGACTGGAGAAAACTCCAGCTGCACCCCACCATCAAGTGTTGCCTCACCACAGATCCCCAGACGACAGGACCAACTGATCATGGCCTGAAATTTCCAAACCTGTGAGCAGGCATAAACTGTTCTTCTTTATAAACTGTCTCTGCTATTCATTCCACTAATGGGAAACAGGGAAACAATACAGGAATAAAAACCATCTTGAAAGGTGACAGGGGTGCCCCGGGCCTAGCCTCTGCATAGCACACACTTGTTCCTTGGTTGCATCTCCAGCCCACACACTACACATGCTACGTACACTGCTATGCCCATGCAGTGGTATTCCTTGCTCCAAAGGGCCCGCTAGTGATTACATTTCAGCGAGACCACATCTAAGTAGGACAGTCCCCAAAAGCTGATCTTGGAATTACTAAGCTTCCTATACCTAGTGGGTAGGGGTCATGTAAACATTTCAGTTCTTCTTCAGTGAAGGATGCCAATAGGCTGGGGGATGTAGCTCAGTGGTAGAGCAACTTGCCTGGTAGGCACAAGGCCTGGATTCACTCACCAGCACTTCAAAAATTAAAAAAAAAAAAAAAAAAGCCTTTTTTTTCTTTTTGGTTTTGTTTTGATTTTTTTGTTTTTGTTTTTGTTTTTCAAAGGGAGTTAGTCACCATTTAAGAGTAGGCTAATGGTTCTGAGTCCTCCAGGAGTTAAAGCTCTATCTAGCCTCGATTTGGAGCAAAGCATAGGCCCAGGAGATATAGCTGTGTGTGGAACACAAAGAGCTGACTGGCATCTGACTCCTGGAGCTGGCCTGGCAGAGCCCCGCTGAGGCCAGGGAGCTGGGCAACACTGAGGGGCTGGGAAATCCCACACTCCTGAGACCCTGCCACTGTACCCCTGCCTTGCCAGCTCCCCTCTGGGAAGAGAGCGTTGTAAGCCCTCGCCTGACAGCTTGGGTTGAACACATCTCCTGTCTTCCTCCAGAGCCAAGGCAGCTTTGCGACCCTCAGCACCCTGTAGCCTTAGCCCATGAGCTTATTTGCTTTATCTGTGTGAGGTAACTAGAATTTAGCCAGAAGCCCTTCCTCTGAGACAGTCATAGATTGGGGGTGGCTACCTCCAGAAAAATTAACCTAGCCCTTCTGAGCAAGGCAAATCTTTGCAGAACAAGGAGGTGGCTGAAGGAGCCTGGGTTTCCGGTCTCTGCTTCATTGCATCACGAGGGCTCAGAACATTTGCACTCCAGGAATGAACTGGGAGAGACAACAGCTGCACCCCAAACTCCGTGTAGGAGGCATCCTGGTTACCTCAGCACACACACACACCAGGAACGTGCAGAAGCTATGGCTTGAAGGGCCAAGTGCTGTATGTATTCTGTAAGGAACAATGGAAGCCCAAGGCCAGGCTACAGGGATGGCCGGAGGAAACAGGGGTAGGACTTAGAACAGGGCCTGGCACGAAGTTAGCACTTTGTGGCGTGTGTGTGTGTGTGTGTGTGTGTGTGTGTGTGTGTGTGTGTGTGTGTGTGTGTAACTCTGGTAATTAGGTAACAGCTTTTCTTTCAAAAAATACAGTCATATTCTAGAGCCTAATCAACCATTCTTTCCTGTCTTCTAGTTTTGCCTACCCCAGAGCCTCCATCCCACAAAAGTCCCAAACAACACTCAACTTTTTCAAAAGCTAAACCTTTTCAGGACATCTGAAAGAGTAAAGCATTCTGGGACAGGTCAGTGTGAGACCTGTTTTTTTGGCGGGTGGCAGTTCAACAAGGTCTTAAAACAAAAGCTTGGACGTTTTCATCTTTTACTTCCGAATCCTCCCACTGCAGAGCCTTCAAAAACCAGCATGTGGACCCTCAAAGAATATTCTACGTAGGTGGCACTGGGACTTGGTGAGGGTGGGTGGAACGCCACTTTAAGGTGTGGCAGTTCCCGTCAGGGAGTGCCACGTAAGTAGCGGGGCTGGGGCTCCCTTGTCGTTTAATAGAAGTGGAGGTGGCGCTGGCTTTGGCTCTCATTGCTTAAGGCTGTTGAGGAAGTGCTGGTAGGATGCAGCCTGCAGCCTGCAGCCTGGTCGCTTTGCACGGCCCAGAGACCAAGGGGTCGCCGGTGGGGCTGGGAAAGATGCAGGGGGTGTCAATCATTCAGTGCCAGCTACCTGCCCGGCTCGCCGGGTCCAATGGGAGGAGCGCGCGGGCCGCACCTCAACCTGCCGGAAACGTCACGACGCCGAGGCTGACGTCGGGCCAATGGGAGGCCTCCCTGGCCAGGGGGCGGGGCCGGAGGAGTTGGGCCGCGGAGGCAGTTGGAGGAGTGTGTGGGTTCTCCTGCCCGGCAGCTACGGAGCGCCCGCGGCTGGTCCGTCCCGGTCGCTGCGTCCCGCGTGGTGCAGGCTGCCCGCTGAGCTGAGCGGCGGCGGCGGCGGCGGCGGCGGCGGCGGGACCTGACGGACGCGCCTCCCGGTCACGCCAGGCTCCCCACTTCCCTTCGCCCGCACTTCCTCCTGCCGCAGCGCGGTGCCGGCTGGGCGGGCGGGGATGGCGGCCCGGGGGAGCTGCCCGGCGCCGACGCGACGGCTGCTCGTGCTCCTGCTGCTTCCGCTGCTCTGGGCCCCGGTCGGGGTCCGCGCCGGCGCCGACGAAGACCTGAGCCACCGGAACCAGGAGCCGCCGGCGCCCGCCCAGCAGCTGCAGCCGCAGCCCGCGGCCGTGCAGGGCCTCGAGCCGGCCCGGGCCGAGGTGAGGGCCGCGGCTGGAGGGGATGGGGCGGGCGAGCCATCGGAGCCGGCTGCCGGGTACCAGGCTCCGCCGCTGGCGGCGCCGCCCTCTTTCCGAGGCGGCTGGGGGAGGGGAGCCGGCCCCTGCTAGCCTCGCCGGGAGGAGGGTGGCCGACAGCTTTCCCAGGCGCGGCCTGGCCTCGCCTGGCTGCTTGGGGGAAGGGAAAGGGAGAGCCCAGCCAGGGGTCCCCAGGGGTCCTCTAGATCCCCGGTAGCGACGTGTTGGCTCCGGAGTCGGCGTCCTGCTGATCAGATGTGCCGTACTGGAAAGACTGGGAATACTCATCCCAAGTAGAAAGTTTTTAGCACAGAGCAGCTGGGAGACTTTGGCTTCTCAAAAGATGATCACATCGGCCTGGCCCTGTCATTGCTGAAGCAATCCATCCAGAGATGCTCACCCGAACTCAGCTTGGTTCTTTGCCAAATGTAGGGTCTAGTGATCATGCATTGCTGCCCTCCCTTTAAAAAAAAAGTGCTTTGGCTTGGGGGAAGTGACCCTTAAGAACGCAGAGACCTACGTCCGATGGTAGAGTGCTTTATAGTGGGGGGGTTCCCAAACTACATTTACCTTCACCAAATAGATATAAAATAACCTTTTAATCTATGTTCGTGGAGTTTCTCCTTTCTAAGCCACTTTTCTCTGTCTTGGGTTGTCTTGTTTCCAATACACTGGAGTTTTCCTGTTCCTTAGTAGGGTCCATTTTGGCATCCGTTTCCTTACCCCCATCCCAGTCTGTGCCCTCTACTTCATTAAACTCAGAACTCTTCAGAGCATGGCTCTGTACAGTCATATGGCAGGATGGATAGTCATGTTTCTTCATCACCCAGTTCCAGCCAAACTCTGGGTCTTTTAGGGACCCACCCCTCCCTCACTGTATTCTAAAACCGCGCCTTCCAGAACCCTGAGACCTGACATGTGCTCTCTTGCCAGCCCCTCCTAAACAAAGACCTTACAACAGAATTTGAGCTTGAAGCCTGCGGGTCAGAACCCTTCCCATCTTCACGAGCCAACAGAAACCTCTGGAGCCTTTCCCAAGCTGCTCTTGTTAGAAGTGATCATTCTCTGAGTAAATGGGAGTTTTCATTTCCTCACAGTTCACATTATACTGGTTGGCCTTCCCTGCGTTTTGTTTTTCTACGCAGTACCAGAAGGTGGGAATTTCTGCGGTTCTGGGTTTGGTTTTACTCAGCAAGTACTTTCTTTCTTTTTTTTTTTTTTTTTTTTTGGTTTTTCGAGACAGGGTTTCTCTGTGTAGCTTTGCGCCTTTCCTGGAACTCACTTGGTAGCCCAGGCTGGCCTCGAACTCACAGAGATCCGCCTGGCTCTGCCTCCTGAGTGCTGGGATTAAAGGCGTGCGCCACCACCGCCCGGCCCAGCAAGTACTTTCTAAGAATCACCTATCCAGAATCTAGTAATCGGTCTTGAGAAATAAGGAAAAATTCTCCTTACTGGAAGTACTCAGGAAGAAGTTAAATAACTACTCATCTGTTAGGAGACTTCATTAGCGTGATGTTAAGATTGGATGAGCTGATTTCAGCCATACTTTGGCTGTTAAGCAGGTAGAGCAGGTGACATTTCCTGCTTGTAGATAGGGCAGCCTGGGTTTGGGTAGTTGAATGTCCAGAGCCAGAACTTAATCCTTAACAGAAGCAGAGTTAGGAAGCAGACTCTGCTCCTCATCTGCCAGGTGCTCTTAGCAGTCCTTGCATTCTGCTAGAACCCTTAGCCATTTGTTTCATTCTCGCGGGTTTTAGTGGTTGATGGATTATATATTGCTGTAAGCCTTTTATCTTGATGCTCCCCTCCCCGCCTCCCTCCAAGGGACTTTAATATTCCATCTATTCTTACACTTTCAATCCTGACTTGGTTTCTTAAAACTTGTGTACATGTTCTGTCTGTCTTGCAGCATATTAATGTCTATAGAGAGCATTGTTAACTCTCATTCCTCTTTGTCTCTTTCCTAAAACCTTGTATATTGTTGGCATTTGCTAAGTAATTTTCTATGAGAAAAAATCTAAGAGTTTTTTTTACATTTTTTACATTTCAGTTCCTATTGGGTTTTAAATACCTTTATGGAAAAACCGTAAAGTGAACTCAAGCAGGACAAAATATTTTAATAGTATATATCCCGTCTTCTTTTACTTGCTGAAGGATTTACTAGCTGAAGTTAAGAAAACCCAACTTTCATCATCTGCTATCTGTTGTTTTGTTCATTAATGAACTGGTTTTAGCTTAGAAAATTGAACTGCAGTAGATTATATAGCTGTTAATTCTGGGACTCTTGTAAACTTTACAGAATACACACACAGTGTGGGGGGTCAGAAGTGTGTGAACTCAAGAGTAATACATTGCCTTCTGATAGCAGTACAAATCAGGTGGCAGGTGTAGAAGTGAGAGTCACTGGCTAGCAGAAGCCAGAGGCTCTACTCGGTTGGCATAGAGGCATTGGGTGGAGGGGGCTTCCCTGTCCTATCCTCTGCCCACTCTGCCTCCTTCAACCATAAATCAACAACATTGCAGCCATTCAGATGACTGTGCATTTATGGTCTGGCTGGTCTGTCCCTGCTCCATACAGCTGCTTCTGAACCAGCTCTGAGATGCTGAGTCATGAACTTTATTCTTTGCATTCATTATTGAGCGTGTGAGCTGCCACATTCTCCAGCGTCAGAAGCTTACTTTAAAACAGTAGCCCCTGGGAGCCAGAGAACTGAATGCAAGAGTGCTGTTTATGAATGTGTCAGCTCACGGAGGTTGTACATATTACAATTTTTAAGACAAATAGTGGTAGGCACAGCCATAGTTACTACAGTCCTTTTAGGATGCTGGAGATAATCTTACTATGGTAAGTAAAGGTCACAGTCTGTTGGCCTCACTTCAGTGGTCTTATGGATGCCTGACTAAGGGGTTGGAGGGAAAGTTCAGACACTATGGTTTTTTGTTTTAATATTTTCATATATTTTGGTGTTCTTTTCCATTAGGAATTGATGATTTACACTTAATGGCAAAACTTTGTCTCATTTTAATTATTTCTGTATAACTTTTTGCTATACCTCAAATATTTCTTACAGTACTAGAATACATTGAAAATTTTTTTCTTCCATGTTTCTTAAACTGTTTAATAAAAGTATAAGTTGCTTCTGTGTGACATAAATGACCAAAGGACAGTTTAACAACCATATAAACAAGGATTCAGGGCTGTTGAGTATCTGGGTTCCGGCTGACTTTGCAGCTATATGCAGTGAATATTTTAAAAGGGTGGGATATTGAAATGCAACCTTTGAGGCCACTGCCTCAAGTGGAGAGTGACCTGTGAAAATCCTGTCTTCACTGGCAGGCATTCGGGTGGAAGGGACAGTACAAACAAGTGGCTGTATCTTACTGGGTGCAGTGAGGTGGCTGAACTTTGAGACAGGGCTGTGCGTGTGTTGAGGGTGCTTTGTCTTTATAACCTGGTTAAAAAGAAGGACAGTGGTGATGTACAGTTGTCCCAGCCCTTAGGAGGTTGAGGCAGGAGCAGAGGAGTTCTCTTTGAACATTTAGTCATAAATAAAGCACAGTCTTTGTGTTCCAAATAGTGACCTTAGTTTGCTCTTCTTTTTTCCTGTTTCTTCCCGGGGCAGAGTACAGATCATACCTGTTGAGAAGTTGAAGAGACTGTGTGGCTGTGTAGCACTGTTGGTATACCTCCACCAGTCTTGTTATCTGAGCCTGCCCAGGCGCCTGTCTTCACTTCCTGCTGCTCTTTCACTCACTGTGAGAACACCTCCACAGAACCCTTTCTTTATTTTCCCGTTCTCATTAAACTGCATTCCTTCTCCACACTGTCCAACACCCGGATCATCACAGTCTCCGCATGCTCTGACTGACACCCTCAACTGTGAAGACTTGAGGTTCCCATAGTGACCTCTGCCTGAAATGATGCTTTTGGTACTCCGTTTATTTGGTGTTACATCAGCAGACGAACTCTTAAGAAAAAAATCAGTAAAACTAAGTATTTAATATGCTTCAAATATATTAGAATGGTAATAAACAAAGTTGCTAAATGTTAATAAAAAATTAATTTTATGAAAATGTAATTGTTATTTTAGATCAATTAATTAAATCATCCAGAAAGACTCAGACATTGTAATGAAAACTTGCAATAAAATACCTTTATCTGGTCTTGGTGGCACACACCTATATCCCCAGGACTGAGTTTTAGGTTAGCCTGCCTCTGTTGGTACATAGAGCTCTGTTACAGATCCAGCTGCCTAGCAAGATGCTGCTCCTGACCCAGTCTCTTAACTGTGATCTTTTAAAACTGGCTTTGTCTGCAGGGCCATTGTTGTAAGTTATGTGGCATTTTGTGTTTGTCTTTTTGCACACTGTGATGTTTTCTAGAAAAGCCTGTTCTGCCTTTGTCAGTAGTGTTGAGGCTGAGCTAGTCCTAAGTGTTGACCCAGATTACGTTATCCTCACATGGTGTCACCTCTTACTTAATTATTTAAGTGATATATTTTATATATATATATATATATATATATATATATATATTATATATATATATTCATATATATAATTTTTTTGAAGAGGTGGAATCAGTCTTTTGGTAGCAAGCTATAGATCTTGTTTCCATGCAAGCATTCTTCCTGGTTTCATCATGAATAGAAGGAGAATTCATTACAGTCACCTTTGTGTTCATTAAACTATAGGGTTCGAATGGGAATTATATCTTTCTTTGTTGTCATTTTCTCTTGAGGATAGTGTTATGGTGACACATACTTAGAATCTCAGCTACAATAAGAGGTTTCAAGTTGCCTGCAGCCTAGGCTATGTGGTGAAACTGGTTCTCCAAAAATTCAAGTTTCTTAAACGAGGATATTCTATGCAGGAGTGTTATTCTGTATATGTGTGTAATACAAGAGAGGGCACAAGTGTGTCATGGCATGTATATAGAGGTGAGGGGACCCCTGGTGTTAGTC